TTTTCATTTCTCATTTGTCCGTGTGATTTGTTGTTGTGCGTGCGGGCTTTTTAAGCTATTCGATACACTGTCATTGCTTATGCATACGAGTTCAAGTGATCATCACTTCAATTGCTTATACCCTATAGCGCACAGTCGCACACACACACACATATACCCACATCTGTACATACATATGTACACCTAACGAACCATGCGAGCAATTGGCCAACTCATTTTTTGTTATTCGACACTTTCTATTGCTGCGGTGGCCATGTGTAACTAGTACTCATATGCCTCTATGTATGTATGTCCGTATGTGTGCATGTAAGAGACATTCAAATGTAGCAACAATGCGACATTCATGCCGAAAAGTGAAAAGACCTGGCTGGGTGTTTCCTAATGGTTCACACGTGTGTCGCATCCGATATTATCGCGAGCACTTTACTCCGGCTGTGAAGGAAACTCGCAACGCAGATATTCATGAATATAAATACATAAGTAATGTATGTATTGAGATTAATATTGCATTGATTTTGACGTAGACGTAGAGCCCTCCGGGTCATTTTCACTTTTGCTACATTGTTGCGCAGATTCATCACTTTAGCGCTACTTAACAGGCTTTTGCTTGCAATCTGCATTCGCCTAAGGTAAAATTGCTCAGCAGTTTTTTGAGCTAAAATTCCTAAACAGTTTTGGCACGAAAAATTTCATAAATTGTTTCGCAAAATTACCAATAGAAAATATAATATTCATATTTGAAGATATCTTCTGACTAATAAGCAAAAGCGTATATGTATTTATGAAACTTTTCTATTCTTTGAAACTCCTTATTGGGGTTTCCCATAACAATATGAGAAACAAACAAAAAAATTGCAAAAATTTCACGCTCATTTGGATTCAAATCGTTTGTGAAAACGACAACATTGAAAATCGATTCATTTACAAGAATGGCAGTAACAATATCGCGCTAATGTGACGTCATACACTATAGAATGAGTAGCGGCCACCAACAAATCGATTTTGCATTTAACGTCACCGGTGYAAATTTGTTTTTGTAATTTTTGGAAACAGTCGTTTTAAATTTTTCCAGTCCTCGAGTTTCAGCAAGTTGTGTTTTATCTCTTCGATCGACTGAAAACGGGTTCCTTGGGGCGGCATATTCAGTATGTGGAGCCAAATCTGATGAATCGATGATATTCTTTGCGTTTTTTGATTTAAATTCGGTCACAATTACACTCGATGCCATGGTGCATTATCATCATGTAAAACCCATGAATTGTTCTTTCATAATTCCGGCCGTTTTTGACGGATGTTCTCACTACTCATCCTCAATAAGGCCAAATGGAACTCCTTATTGGCTATCTGTTCCGCCGAAACAAATTCATGATGCACCAAACCACGAATATCGAAAAAGATAATGAGCATCTCCTTGATTTTTGAGCAACTTTGGCGTGTTTTTGTTTTGGTTTCGGCTCGTTTTTGTTGACATGTYTGCATGTCAAACTCTTAAACCCATCTTCCATTGTCAGTTATAATGCTTTCCTAAATGTGGGATTRAAATTCATACGATTAAGCATATCCAAAAAGACCTGTTTTGAAAAAAACATGTAAGTTATTATATCTAGGTTCAAAGCTCTGTAAAATCACAGAGTTGTTTTAGAAAATAGCTGCAACTGCTCCTACGTCTACTTTTTTATTTTACTTTTTTATAATTAAGCCGTTTTAACTCCTCTTTTGAATTTTAAATATGGCAACTCAGACATTCGACATTCTATGATATAGCAATCGTTTACTCTACGTTTCCAAAGCATGAAAATCTTGAAATTTATTTACGTTTAGTGACAATTTTTATCATAATACTGTACTGATTGTGTCCATAGATTTTAAACCAAAAAAGGTTTCTTCCTTAACATTTTATATATAAAAAAAGGATCGTTCAAGATAAAAATTAAAAATCCCAGAAGTAGGTTATTTGAATTATATATATACAAAATATATATATGTATATGAAAAATGCATTAACCTAAAAGTTAAAGTCTTTTTATTGAAGTCTCTCTCACAAAATATAACATGTAGAATAACGCATAATATACCATATAGTATAACGTATACACACTTTGTTACCAACTAGCGCTAAATGGGAGCGTGGGAGTTTCGTCTCGTGTTAAATAATTTTGTCGCTATTTTTTAAGGCGAATGACTTCCCCATCGCATGGTTATCTATGACATCATATATTGATAGCTAAAATATTTATACGCACCCAACCCCTACCCACTTATTAATAAATTATCAATATAATTATATATATATAAGTATGCAAGCATAAGTGTGTTAGTCGCCGCTATTTCGTTATCAAAAATAAAAAAAATTTCGTATCTAAAATAAAACTGAAATCAAAATCACAAAATCGTRCAACAAAAACAAAAGCGAAGAAAGCTACAAGTGCGTGAAAACAAATAATAGCACACGCATAAAAAATATAAGGAAGGGAATTAAAAAAAATAGAAAATAAAAAAATAGAATACCAAACAAAAATAAAAGAAAAATAACAAATTTGTGTTAATATACACGAATTTGCTTTGATTTTGTTTAGGTCAACGAACTTATTTGAACTACTTTTTTCTCAGACACACATATTCTTTAAACACAYATCTATACATACATATATATGTTRTTGTGATTTAGTCATTTATTTATTTTATGTTTTATAAATTATAAGCAGATAATGCGTAGGCTTTTATGTAGCGGACGCAGGCGGTCGGCATAGAGATTATCTTAGACTTTTTATTATCGCTAAATTGGAGCATGTAAGATTTCTTGCAATAAAAAGAAAAATACATGCGTGTTTAATGTATGAGTGCATACGACTTGTACGAGGTGTGATTGATATATTGCAAATATTTATTAACAAATATACATGTGAGGTAAAGCCTCCTATGAAGGATCAATTTTAAAAATAAAAAAATATTTCTATTTTTTTTATAAATTCTAAAAATCATATAATGGCAGGGATAAGTAAAGGTTGAATTTCTATTCAAGTTTTAAATCTGAGTATTTAAGTAGAATTTTGAACACATTGAACACATTTTTTATATCCCAATATTATTATTTTATATACTCTTTTAAAAACATGTTAAGGCAACTTAAGTGACTCATACCATACAGTTAATTTAAAGAACACACCTAGTGTGAACTTTAAGAAAATATTGTGCAGTCCTGTCGAATTTTTTCAATAGATGTCATTGGAGGCGTTTATCTCGAGTGGTGCCAATCACATTGTGTCATAACATATAGTGTTGGAAAGGTGAGATTTTTCTCTTTTTTACCGAAAAAAAAAATTAAATTGTTGAATTAATACTGTCCAGAGCCGCCAAGCCACTTATGATATATAGATGCCTAGCCGTTAGATCCTGCGGCTGCAAGCCTGGTGTCATCAAGTCGCTGTATACCATGATCATAAGGGCTACTGGCTCCTCTTCCAAGAGAAGGTGCTACGAAGAGAGTAAACTTCACAAARAAATTTAAAGTTACTCTYGGCAGTAAGGCGGAGGTTCACGCTCGACCTACTACTGAGGAGCAACACTACCCAGCGGTACACTGAAGATTCGAAAACACCGAAAGGCATTGAGTCAAGCATTGCGAGACATTCATACCAATGGGATGCTTTCCTGGCATCTTTCAAGCATAAGATGAATGCGCAGAAATCAATATCCAACGTAACTATCCAGAGTGTCGCTATACTCAGCGGTAGTCAAGCGGCACTAAAAGCGATCTCAGCTTATGAAGTCAAGTCGCTATTAGTAGAGGAGTGATAGCAAGACTGAACCGCCTAGCAGTTTGTAACCATGGACACTACACCTCAACTGGGTGCCGGGGCATAAAGGGATAGCCGTCAATGAGCTTGCCGACGAATTAGCCCGCTCTGCGGTGGCTTCCGAATTGATGGAGCCAGAACCAGGCATTTGGATGGGGTCCTACACCATGAAGGAGAGGAGAGAGTGGGGAGAGAATGGCAATGACAACAGACAACAGGAATGCGCCARGCCAAGTTAATATTGGGTGGTTAGAACCTAGCAAGGTTTAGAGTTATGATCAACCTTCCCCGAGACAAATTTCATCTCCTTGTCGTGCTCTATGCTGGGCACTACAGGCTCAAGAAACACTTCTCCAACATGGGCATAGTCTCTTGCGCAAACTGCCGGTTTTCTGCCATGGAACCAGAAACTACAGAACACCTGATTATAGATTGCCCAGCACAACGTAGAAGCCGGTTCAAAGCCTTTGGGTCCATRTATGTGGACAGAGATCACATCACCTCCATCGCGCCCAGCAAGCTCCTGAAAATTTTCAGAGTTCTAGACCTTCGTGACCATATGTTCTCTCTCTGATACAAGAGGAGACAAAATAGACGATAGGTCGCAGTGCAAAACATCAATTATTTTCTATCTATTTATCAGTTCTGCATATTTTTTATATYGTTCTCCATGCAATGACCTACTAGTTTTTTGCTTTGAACGGAAATAGAGTCAGGCATGCCACAGACGTCCAATTTCAAAAATCAAATCAATATATGGTTATTATCTGCTGGTAGAGAATTTTTTATTTTTATTTATCCACGGGGAAGGCCGGCATCACTGTAACAGTGTAGAATATTCTTAACCCGTTGTAGATGGGCTGCAAATCGAAAAWTTTTTTTATTCAAACGTTTTACTGTGTATTTATAAAATATGTRTAAATAAGTAATTAACAGTTTAAAACAATTTCTTCAATATTTTTTTAATTCACAATTCTTCTTCTTCTTCTCTTTTTAGGCTATCGCACTAGTTGTGTTTATTAATTCAACGAAAAATTAAGATAAAGGACTAACTCATTTTAAAACCACAATAAAAGGTAGGTGTCTTTGATAAAAAAAAATATGCCCAATTGTAGGCAACATTTTTATGACTGCTTAAATGYGAAATTGTAAAATTTTATATTAAAAATATTTTTAAATAAAAACAACTTGCCTTTAAACACAGACATAATACGAAATCTCTGAACTACACACTATCAAAACACTTTAATACTGAACAACTGTTTTAAATCTGAGCACACATCATACCAAATGTTGGAATTGTTTAACAAAAAATGCTACGGTGAATCCCATCTTTTATTTAGGTACARCGAATATGTATTCTTTTATATGCGTACATACATACATACGAGTATATACTAACGTATATTTATATTCACGCAACCATTTGCATTATGTTTCCTAAATTAAGCAGTGAAAAATAATAATTAAAGTACCGCATTCGCAATAAATATGGTCTCGTGGGTATTCCCAGACATCTTATCAGCAGAGTAATAGAGTACCAAAGCATTGCTTCGGGACTATAAAAGACGACAAGCGAACACAATTGGCACAGTTCATTTCGCTAAGTCGCGCGGCTTGTCAAGAAATACAAAACGAGAAGGCATGGATTTAAGGATTTTCTTGCTACTCTTCACTTTATTTGTTGGTATGGCGTTGGCTGCAAAACCCACCATAGGTCCAAAGTTAAAATGGCACCGACCAGTCGGTATACCACCACAGTGGTATAAAACGAGTAACACGGAGACCGGAAAGGCGAATCAACAGTCATAAAAAAGATACGTGGAATTATACCAGTGGCTTTTAAATTATCTGCTAAGGAGTTCATGTCTAAAAATTGTGTAATTTATATATAACAGTATTCAAATAGTTATGAATATATGGAAGAGTGTGGTGAAAAAATTAAAAAAATTGTTAATTTATTTGTAAAAAACTTACTCGTCTGGAGCTTCCGCCGTGTTTTTAGACCTATTTGTGGTATATTTGTGGATGTAATTTGATATTGTGTGAAGGATTCTATCATTGTCGAGTGACTTTCGTATGAATGTTGTATTTAATGTGGCTTCTGGTAACACTTTCCACTGCTGCCTTGCTTCCTAAGACACTTCTGGCCGATATGCGATACGAGGTTGCTGCCTTGATTGCTGCTTGGCTGTCTACATAGATGGATTTGGCTACAGGTGCATTAGAGGTCAGCTCCGCGGCTTTCACAGAGGCAAAGACCTCAGCTTGACACTATCTATCTCCATTGTCCATTCACGAGCCATCCGTATAGATGTTAGGAGTGTTGCGCRTAGCTAACATACCTTTACGCTAGCCATAATTTTTATATTTACTTTGTACCTTTTATCCAGTTAGAAAGAGGGGTAATTTAGTTGGTGTTTCCCTAWCCACCATTACCGACCGAGCTATGCCCGAAGGTTCTATATCTAAATTCTCCTTTAGCCAGTAGTCGTTCTGCTTCTATGCCGATATTCTTTTCTACTTCAACCGTCTCCAACGKGTTTTTATTGCCGTCTTCGTCGTGACAGAAGGGGAAAGATCACGCTTCCAATGCCCAATGCCATCCTCCAGTCTCGCTCCTTCCCTTTAGAAGCATTCTGACCGCTTCCCTTACCCATGTTAAGATTTTGACACCGCTAAGCCATCCTGCTACATCGAATGACGACATGGGTGCGCTCAGTCGGGGTCCATTTTCGAGAAGAGGGCTTCCACTATTTTCCACCGCTTCTGTGATATTTGACCCAGCAAGTTATTGCGGTCTATGGGCGTGACGTTTAAATGCCGTTTCAKTTTCCAGCGATATGCTGGATCCCAGGCATTACACCAGTTTCGAGTACTGAAGTGTGTCCCGCCGTCTATAACCACCTTTCTACTAAATATTATAGTTTTATAAAATATATATGTTACTCAGAAAATTTCTAGCTTTYATAGTTCTCTCCGACTCACTCTCTCCGACACCTTCTATGTAGTAAATGTTACTCATACGTAATGGCGCACTGACAACCTCACATATATCAACTATAATAATAAAGATAAAGTAATATAAACACATAATAAAAGCCATTAACATATTTTGCATATTTATTACATTTTAATTGCTCATAAAATCCTTTTACAATTTGCCAACTTTTCCACACATCAATTTACCAACTAAATGAGCCAGATATTGCACCACTGTAGGAGTTGTCATTGGTATGAAAATTGTGACTGGCTTGTGCAGAAGCGTCCACCTTAAAAYTGCCATCATCGCTGCTGTAGATGTGCTGATTGTAATGAGCCGAGGCACTGTCCTGATTCACGTCRACACCAACGCTGCCACCATCAGGCGAACGCACGTGACGGACCAACACTGGCGCTTGTCCTTCTTGTGGCACTTTTGAGTCGTCTTGCAGTGGCAATGCAGCGATCAGTACAATGCTGCACAAGCAAACGAATAGGAAAATGCACTTGTTTGCCATTTTAGATAATTTTAGTTAAAAACGTTCTTCTTGAGTTATTGAAATCGATCGATATCGAAGTATTTAACTGATTGATGATTACTTGCGCCGCGACGTTGGTTTTTATACGATCTCAAAGGTGTATTGGCAATTGAAGTTGCATTAATTTGGGATTCACATTATCTTTAATATTGTTGAAATAATGATAACTCGYAATGGGAAGTACCATCTCAAGGATGCTTAAGTGTGTTTACTTGTACTTATTTAAATAACATAGCGGAAGTAAGCTATCTACCGATCTCTTATCAGTGGTAGAGTACCGTAGTTCTATTTATCGCRAAATAGCACGCTCGCTTGAATTCAAATCGATATTTAACGATTTCTTATGGATTCAATTATAAATTATATCGTTTTTATTCATTTAATATTCTTAGAGTTTCCCATTAATTGATTTCAGTTTTCTTATACTAACCACCGCTTGTTTGTCAAAAAAACCTTGCAAGTCAATAAAACACTTTTTCGTGATTTAAAAATTTTTTTCTTTTGAAATAATATCTGATTTCATAAATAAAAATGAATAATGTGTATTTAAGAAATTACAAATACTTTAAAAATCACACATTTTTTAGAAACACTTTGGATTCCTTATTTCCCGTAGCCGATATCTTCCCATGTTTGGTTGTGAGCAAGATTTTTCTGCTTAGAATTATCCCAAAAACCTAAAAAATATTATTTTTACAATAAATGTAGACAAGCCAGATTAGATTAAAAACCAAAATTTTGGTTTTTAATAACATGGTGGTTTCTCGAAAAAAAAAAACAAAATGTGATAAAATTTATATTTCAGCGTGGCTTAAAAATCGAAATTATTATCAAAAATATTATTTCTTTYGATTATTACCCAAAAAATATATATCATAATGTTGTATAGAAATGTTCAAYGGATCGGTTCAGTCATTTTGGAGAAAATTTTCTCATCAACTCTGAAAACAAATTTTTGAGAGACACACTTTTAAAGTTTTGGGAACGGATTACACTATGTTGGAAATTTTCTACAAATACGCTGTGATTTCCGGAATTATTTGCCAGGTAGACACGAAAATTTTAATAGATTATATTTATATAGCCGTTAAATCTTCCGTCATATCGAATATTTCGAGCAAACCTTGAATAGACACACCGTTTAAGTCCACGCTTTGAAATCCAGCACAAAGGTTTCTCGGGTCGCACTCACCTGGTGTCATCACATTGAGTTAATGATTAAGGTTATAGCTAGGTTACATTAATCTGGTAAGTGAATGAGCCACGCATAGAGGGAACAGTTCTTCTTCTTCTTATTTATTGGTGTAGACACCGCTTACGTGGTTATGGTTCTAAGATGAGTAAAATTCGAAACTAGTACGGTTACATGGAATGGATTGTCGTGGGGGAGAATAGTTTCTTCTCTGCCTTTTCCTTCCAATGGAATATTTTACAACAAAAAATATTAGTAAACTAAATTCCATGACCCTTATGCTGCTTGAGCTTAGCTTTGCCCACAATTACTTTCAAAGAACCGCTTAAAAACTTCCCCACTCACACTTAAAGAGTCACCGTTAACACCAAAAAAAAAAAAAAAACGCGAATGTCTAACAAAGAGTTCAAAGTTCGTGCTTAACCTCAACTAAATGAACCAAGTGTATTACTTTCAATGCAAAGAAATTTAACGTTATTTACATTAACTAACTTTCAATAGCAGAAAACTGACAACAAATCGCAAAAGATGCAAAAATAAATACCAACAACAACATACCACAATTTACTAGCGCCATTAAGCATTGTGCTGGTGCGCAACTACAACAAACAGCAAAACAAGAAAACCAACAACGAATTCATTGAGCCGCAACGGCAACGGCAACGGCAACGGCAACAACAACAGCAAAACTGATAAATTGCTGAATTTGTTAAACAAAATCGTAGACAAAAGCGAACGACGCTAAGTAACAACAAAAACAATAACAATACAGCATGAAAACATTAAGTCAAATCATTTATACGCCCCCAAGCCGCAACACTGGAATTTTGTTGTTGTAGTTAACAGCAGCACACTGCAAGCGCTCATTAGACATTTTTCTTGCAACGTCATCCCCGATGGCACACCAAATGCCACCTATAATGGCTACGATGTTGTAGGTGTTGCCGCTGCAACATGCCACTGCACATCGCACATCATTGTACAACAATGTAACAACAACAAGAACAAAATGCTGCATATACACGTGGCATTTCCCCAGACATTCTCTTCGCTTGTAAACACCTGACTGCCATTTTGCTGTTGTTGTTGTTGTTGTATTTCAAATTTGTTCCGAAACGATAAACCACGGTAAAAACTTAATGCCGTTGTTGTTTTTATTGTTGTAGTTATTACTTTTGTTGTTGCTTTATTGTTTTTATTTTTGTTTGTTCCCAAACGTTAAACCACTGTAAAAGTAAATTGTTGTTATTATTATTTTGTTTGTTATTTTTGTTGTTGTTGGTGTTGTTGTTGTTGTTGTCGTTGTTGTTACAAGCCAGTAAGCCGAGAAGTTGCTTAGCTACCTGACTGACTGTGCTCAGCT